TAAAAAATAATTTATTATGTAACAAACTCGCAAGAATCGTTTACTTACTTGATTGACCGTTTTCAAGTTCGACTTCAGATCTTGATATCTAAAGTACAAGGACAATAGTTTTAGGCGCAATGTCAATGATCCTTTAGTTGTCAGATATCTTGGTGATAAATTAACTTCACGCGGGGTATCGCGCTTAGGAATTTGGGCCGCCAAGATATTTGAAAAGAACTATATAATCGACCAGAAGTAAAAATCTGGTTTACCTTTGGTATATTGGCAGATTTTTGTTAATCATACTTCATACCAATATTATAAATGTAAAAGGATAGATGAGAGATTAGAGTTTGTAGCCTAAACGGCTGAGAGGATTTTAATAAAATTTGGTATAGATGTAGAGGATAGTCTGGAAGAACACATAGGCTATTCAATTTATTTTTTTTTAATTCCACGCGTACGAAGTCGCGGGTGAAAGCTAGTTTAATTTAATTTCTTGCACTTTCCAAGGTCAAAACTCGAATTGTTTACGAATCCTCAAACACGGGACCGTGTCCGTAGTTCCATTAGACTATTGTCGCTTCAAAAATTGATTTTTTTAAAACGATAGTTTTGAAGTGATTATTATTTTGCAGGCGGAACAGATCTTCAAGAAGATCTGCCCCGGCGAGGAGTTCCTGCCGCGGGCGCCTGATCCTGAGGAGATCGTGTTCGAGGATGACGTCACGCACGGACCTGAGTTCCAGCGCGAGGAGGAGGACGCCGACGGCGACGCTAAGGAGTAATTGCACTCCTTACACCTCTCAGCGTTTTGCAGCGTGTTGCTATGTTTGTAAGGCTTCTATATGATCATTCAAACGATAGAAGTATTTATTTGGAAATATGCTGGATATGGAAATTTGACGTCAGTGTCACTTAAAATGTTTAGAAGGATACTAAAGTATACCTTCAGTTTTAATTGAGCAAAACTAAGCAACAATATTGACACCACTTTGGTTGTAATTCGACTGTTCAGTCACAACTGTGCAGTTAAAGCTGAAAGTGTGCTAATAAGTGGAATCGGATTTTTTTATAGACGCACGCTAGTAAGGAGACAAGCATTGATTTAGCAACACACTGAAACATGCTGAATAATTGTAAGCTGTAATCTCAATAAGATTTATACGCTTTGGTCGCTTGACTCGTGCATTCCGACTGGTGCGTTGCTAACTTAGAGTTAACGATGCTAATTATTTAATCACATATAACAATTAGTAACAAATTTAATTCACAGTTTAAGGTTTAAAACTTTTTTCGTGACTTTTAATATTTGTAGATTTATAATCTGTAGTTACGGATATGTCAGGTCCGACCAATGCTCAGGTTTTAGTTGAGTACCGGCTAGGCTATCTTGATATTTATGGGCAAGATTGACTTGTAGCAGTTTGCGGCAACTGATGTATTTTATATCGATTCTGAATAGCAGAGACTGAAGTTTGAGGATAGTATTATGGACGGACGGTTGTAGAGGACTGATGTTATTGTAGGTTTTATGCTACGCTATGCTCTCTGATCGCTCATTTACGCATTTGGTATACGCATTTATGAAACTCAATTATATAATCTGTAGTTGACCATAGGAAAATTTGCGCAATTGTAATAGATTTTTTTTATAGCATTTTAGCTAGGACGCAGTTTTTAAAACGATAAGCGTAATGTTTTAGACGCACCAGTCTACAGCATAGACAGTAGCACGTTTTTATTTAATAATTTAAGTTATTTAGCACCCTTAAATGATATTTATTATGAAATGTGCATAATTATGCCTTTGCAGCTTATGCATGTTATATGAATTCCATTAAATTGTGATTATTAGAAAATATAACTTTTGTTTCATTTAATAAAATCCTTACATTTCCCACATAATTTCATATTCACTTTAAAGTAATTAGACTAAGGTCTCAATTACGTAGAATTACTAACCTAACCTATCTCAAAGTAATTTTGTTTGGGCACTAGTTCTTTAGTTAGAATAAATGTAAAATAATTTGCTATTTAATTCCAATAAATATTCATATAGACCATAGTTTTTGTTTGATAAGCAAACTATTAATTTAACATCAAAAGTGGGCTTAAACACCATGTTTATCGAAAGTTCAATTTTTAAATTGAAAGTAATTTTAAGGTACCAAATAGGTTTACTACAAAGTATTTTCTGATAATTTATCAATGTTTAGTTGTTCTTCACTAAATACCACATGGTAGTGTTGAATTATTTTATACTAAAGGGCTGCAGCTTCAAGTTATAAAAAGTAAAAAACAAAATCATATAATTCATGTTTTATTCTTAGTCAGTTATTCCTGGTCCATTATGTATAAACACATTGAATCATATAATTACAAATAAAGATTTGTTTACTTCATTTATTGGAATACATCAGAGAATATTTACTTATCTTTCTTATAACAATATAGCCCTATATCATAATAATATATACACACAGATAAATTGGATATCACATAAGATTAAAGGACTTGTTAATAAATTTTATTAAAATAATCTTTTCTCATATGAAAATAAACCATGCACATTGCCTTCCAATTGTGCTGAGTATGTCCTCTTCATAAAACGTAAATCTCCAGAGTAGCTCAGTTCGCGTAGTTTTTTCAGTGATGGGGCCCCCAGGTCTTGGCAGCTGTGTTGCATACCAGTTTGCAAGTATGGCAAAAATCTCAACACAGACCCCTTATCAACTATACTACCACTAACACCTTGTGCCACTCTGTGTTTGTCAGTTTCCTTATGGAAATATCTACTCATGGCTGATCCTTTACCCTCTTTATTCTCCATAGCTTCCAAGCTACCCATACCACGGTACTTTTTAAGTCTGACACCATCTGAGAAGAAATATTCTCCGGGAGCTTCAGAAGTGCCAGCAAGCAGGGAGCCCATCATAACTGTTGAAGCTCCTAATGCAAGTGATTTTACAATATGCCCTACCGATTGTATTCCCCCATCTGCTATAACGGGCACATTAAACTGACGAGCATAAGAGGACACCTGATAGACAGCAGTAGCCTGCGGGCAGCCGCAAGCCATCACCTCTTGGGTTATACAGATAGATCCACTGCCCATTCCTACCCTAAGAGCATCAACACCTGCTTCTATGAGATTCTTTGCTTGCATTCTAGTAACAACATTACCACCAATCACTTGTATATTTGGGTAATTCGATTTAATATACTTTATCATATCAATCTGATATGTGGAATTACCTTGAGAAGAATCAAGGACTATCACATCTACTCCATTACTAACAAGTAACTTCAGGCGCTCCCTGTCTGCTTCCCGTGTCCCAATAGCGGCACCCACCAGGAGCTGTTTGTTGGAGTCTTTTGATGCATTGGGATAACTTCTGGCTTTTTTCAAATCGGTTCGTGCAATTAGAGCTACCAGTTCCCCTGAGCCATTAATAATAGGAAGCTTACCTTTCTTGCTCTTCTCTAGAATGTAATTAGCATCTTGCAGAGTAACTCCAGATTGTGCTGTTATCATTTCATCTATAGGGGTCATCACTTCCTTTAGGCTGAGATGCGGGTCACCCTCTCTGAAGTCAATATCCCGGGATGTCACTATTCCTATGAGCCTGCCACCCAGTTTTCCATTCTCAGTTATTGGATAGCCCGTGAAACCATTCTTCTTTTTCGCTTCCAAGACATCGGCTACGGTATTTTCAGGGCCCATGCAGACAGGATCGCGAATAAAGCCATGTTTATACTTCTTCACCTTATGCACCTCATTCGCTTGATATTCCGGAGTGCAATTATGATGAATAATACCGATACCGCCGCAGAGAGCCATGGATATCGCCATGTCTGCCTCAGTAACGGTGTCCATAGGGGTGGAAACCAACGGAGATTTCAGATTTATCTTTTTTGTCAGTGGGGAGGTCAAATCAACTTCCTCTGCAGTGAAGTTAATGTATCCAGGAAGTAGTAGAAAGTCGTTGTATGTTAATCCTTCACTATTAGCGAATATTTCCTTGGCGGAAAGCCCATCGCGTAGGTCGGCTTCCGCGTTCGACATGTTACTTTACTTATCTTCAACCACGTGCAATAATGACACAAAATAACACGTTTTGGTTACACAAATGTATTATATCTATTTTTTCACAATGAATTACAAATAATAAAATTATTTATAATTAACGATACAAGGATACTCGGCGTACACGTGGTATAATAATATGTCCTCTTCGTCAGTAATTCGGAAATCTTTAAAAATTGTCAGAACTTTTTGTACATTCAGGCGGCAAATTGAAGTGTAAACTTTTGACGTTATCGAAATATTTTTCTTAAAAAAAATAGGAAATGTTAAAAAACACGCGGAGGCAACGCCGGCTTCTGAATATTGCCACAGACTAAATATTTTTTTTCTGTTTGCTAGTGATGGGCTTGGCTTTGTCTTGCTTATGCCTGGCTGTAAGATATAGATTATAGAGTTTGAACCAAACAAGTTATTGCTAGAGATGGGCTTGTTTTCTTTCATTTATATAGATGTCGAATATCTGTTTTACATTAGTAGTTAGTGAGCTTACTTCTAGTGAGAAGGTTTCTTTAGATTACATTAAAAATGTTTTAAACCAAAGTAAACTTATTCAGTATTACAGCTATGCCAAATCTAATCGAGATCAGTTCAGCATTTTAGGCTACAAACTCTAACAAATAACACCCATCTTAACTTTCGCATTTATAATAGTAGTAGGATATTAAAAGCTAACCTAACTAGTTTGTATTTGGTATTAAATTAATTTCTTCAAAATAGATTACGACCTCTTTTATTATTTGAATTATTTTATACTAGCTTTCGACCGTGACTCCTTCCGCGTGGAATGTAAATAAGTTGCCTGTGTTCTTCCAGACTATCAACTACGTCTATGCCACGTTTTATCGAGATCCGTTCAGCAGTTTAGGCTATAAACTTTAAAAAATTCCTTCCATCCACCTAAACTTTCGCATTTAAAATATTAGTAAAATCGATTGGGCACGTTCCATTACTGTAAACTTTTATCTATCTTAGAAAATATTTCCAAATTGGCTACAATTAGTTTACGTGTACAACACTGTCTGTAAGAACTAAATGTAACCTAAGAAAACCTATAGCTTTAATTATCCGCCCACTCGTCCTTACTATATTAAATCTATACAACCAGGTCAGTTTAAAGCCATAGATATGCATTTGTAACTTTAATGCTTTCAGTTTTTTTCTATAATAGGTTTAAACTCTGTCTCGTGTACTAGAATTACAGATTTCACTTTTACCAACTTAATAATTTGTATTCTATTCTACAACATAGGTTGTTTTTATGTGAAAAAGACGATAGATTACAATCTGACAATTGACAATACACTCACATAGGAGCATAAATAGGAGACAGGGATAAAGGTAGGATTAATCTAGATATATTCTACCTAATTGTACGACATACTACTAGTGGTATTGTACCCACAGAACACATTTTCTCTTTATTCTACCTACCACATTTCGAAATCACTACAGTTGTCCCCGAGGCGTAATTTACCTTTCATCTTAATACTCCTTGTGGGAAGCACAATAGAAATTCAAATCAGACCTGATAATCATTTACAAACCTTTAAACAATAGCAGTGATGGAAAAATATGAAAACGAAATACATTTTTATTGTAAACATAATCATTTCCTTACATTATAATTCCGAAAAAAATAACGTCATCACTTTTTAACTTGTACCACAAATAATAAACCGATTTGTTAATTGTTTCGTTTTTTCTACCGTTTACTCTTTTGTTTTGTATTTCTTTATGAGTTGCTTTTAAGGAATGGTAATGCTTGAAGCACTTCTTCGGGTCCGTCACTGCCGGTTCCCACGCGTCGGAAGCCCATCGGTCCATTTAGTGGACCATTCTTCGGCATTTCTAGAAAGTTAACTTGGCCATACACCTCAGCCTGGCAGGTGTAAACCGCAACAAAAAGTAACAACACAACCTTTAGCATGGCCACAACGCTAGACGATACCAGAGAAAATAGATTGGTGAAAAAAATAAATAACTTTTTATACCTTTAATTATACGGTCCCAAGAGAAAATTAATTTAATAAAATGCGATGTTTTTAATCAACATAATTTGTTTTGCAGTAAAAGAATATGTATTCAATTTAAAAAAATAACATGTATTTGATTTTGAATAAATTTAATGTTTCGCTTTTTAAACCGTGTCTAGAACAAGTGTAAATTAATAACTTCGTTCTATTTACTGAGTGCAAAAATTACAATCGTTCGCCACTTGGAGTAAACTTAGCACATATCTTACTAATATTATAAATGCGAAAGTTTAGATGGATGGATGTTTGTTAGAATTTGTAGCCTAAACTGCTGAACGGATCTCGATTAAATTTGGCATGGATGTAGGGGATGGTTTGGAAGAACACATAGGTTATTCGCTTTTGTTTTTTTTTAAATTCCACGTTTACGGAGTCGCGGGTTAAAGTTTATTACGAAGAAAACGAACAAATGGTTAATCTTTGACCTTAACATGCAATCATTTGGAAACACTAAATAAATGGGTATTGAGTTATAGCGAATCGATCGGCAGAGAAGACCAACAGAAAAGACATTTTGATCCCTTGTTAGTCATTTCAATGTTTTAGGTAATATCGATGTTAATAATTTCTAATGCTAACTCACAAATCGATACAAAAAGCGCGAGGCCATGGTTACTTATTCTCGGCCAATAGAAAGAGCCTTCGATGTCATTGAAGCATTTGTAATTGAATTTTGACATTTATAATTGAAAGTTTTACGGATTATGAACAATAAAATAATGTTTGTCATGCAGATAAAACTGCACGGTACCAGTCTACAATAACTATAACCTCTTTGCTTTTCAAGTGATAACAGTGGTGATATTAATATAATAACAAATTCACAGATAGTGGATTTTATTAAAAAAAAAAAAACAGAGAAATAATAGGTTACATGAGTTAATAAAAAAACTAATTATATCTATTGCATTAGAGTACTTAAGAATAACGCAAAATTGTTTGTTACAACAATATCAGAGATAATAATAATAATAAGTAAATTGTGTCTATAACCAATGTTATTAGTAAAAAAAATGGCTTGTGAACTTGTGATGCTTGAATGCAATTTTTATGTTGTTTGCGGCAAAGCAAAAATGAGAAACATTTTTTTCAAACACAAAACGTTGCAACGTTGTTTTCTTCTTCACCAAAATAAATCTAGTTAAAACATATACCAGATAATCACAAAACTATCATAAATGTTAAAACGTGTTGATAATGGTACAAAGAAGTCCCAGTTTTACTTCATGATGGGAACACATTTTCCATTGACCTTCACGTATCCTGTCGAGCATTTATCTCCATCGAAACCAAATCGATTTTCAATAACATCATTGTCGGATGAATCGGAAGAACTTCTGTCACCCATATTTGTCTTCGGACAAGTCGTTCTTTGTAGAAAATCGTCATTTGCGAATGTCGTAGGACTTTCCGGTTCATCAATAGCATTCGTTTCGATTTGTTTTATTTCATCTTCATCTTTGAAAACAATTCTATTGTCACTCGTGTAGTTCTTCTGCATATCAGACTGCACGTTACTGAGATCCTTGTATTGACTCATTTTGGTTTTATTCTGATAGATCTTGACTTTAACTTTGGTGATTCACAGATCTTCTTATTTCCAAGTCTCGTTGCTTGAAAAGTTCTTAATTATATTTGAAGCTTTTAACAAACTTTAATACTCGTCTTAAAATAAAACGGTAAATGTAGTTAGACCGGTTGTAAAGCACTCGTCGCGATGAGGTCTCAAGAATGTGTGGATTATAATAACAACAGGGTTTATTTATGTAAGAAATTTTGTGCGTCGGTTTTCCTGTGCGCGTGCCAAAAATACTTCACTACATGATAAATGCAATTCAACGATACACGTTATCAAGTAAACAATAAAGAGCGTCATAAATAATTGAAGTTGAATTTGTCTCCACGTCATGGTTTTTCACCAAGGAATTAATATTTTTTTCTGCCTCGTGCATTTTTTAATTGTCCACAGCTATCGAAAATCGTTTATGCTGTACAATTATCCCTCTCATTCTCAGAAAAGTAAAAATAGTGAAAATAATACGCGTTAAAACAAGTCTCACGGCAATGGAGTTTGACGGCATGATGACGTCTTATAAAATAATTGCTACTTAATTGTTAGTGACAAACATTGATACAGTTGTCTATGACAAATACTGTATCTGACATGCATTGTACTACAAACTGACACCATATCTGATATCGTAGTGGCTCTTAACTTCGCACAAGAATACACAGAATACAATTTTGAGTATAGTTAGGCTATATACGTTTAGGCCGCGGTCACGAAACAAGCAACGAGCGGCAACAATTTTAGATAAATCAGGGCTTAGCGAGATTAGGGGAAGTATCGTTTATTTCTACCACAGAAATATTTCTTAGATTAAAGTATTTCAGTTTTAATTATCACATCCATTTTTAAGGTTACAAAATATTATAAAATGTACTAAAACGTGGTTAAATTTATTATTCTGGTTCTGGAACACATATCGAGAGTGGTACCAGGTATGCTTGCACTATACGAAGACTTTTTCAATTTTGATTTGTATCTATAATTACTAAAGGCGTCGATTTGGCTACGTTCCTTTTGGATCCGCCGGTGCAATAAATGAGAGTTCCTGGAACTCCATGGAACACACCGGTACCCTCAGCACTTTTGTACTCAGGGTTCTGCCTGTTGCACCGCAGTGTTACTATTTTGGTGAAAGTTCAACCCTAAGCTGTACCAATACAGCGTAACAGTAGTTTTGTGGTTACATCTATCTACTTGAGTATCATGTTATGAGCAATAGATACCACATGATCAAGTAACGGTTTGGTCACGATTCAATCATCATACTAATATTATAAATGTGAAAGTTTAGATGGATGGATGGATAAATGTTTGTTAGTTTGTAGCCTAAACGGCTGAAAGGATTTCGATAAAATTTTGATATGGATGCAGAGGACAATCTGAAAGAACGTATAGGCTACCCACTTA